ACAACCCATTCAAGTACCGCAGGAATTCTGAGTGGCAGTCAGTTTCTCCGTTCACCAACTAACAACCACATTCTGGGTAACCCTGTTCCGCCCTTCAATGAATCAGACAAACACTGGAACCACGGCAGACAGACAGTAGTCAAGGATTCAACAACTTCTCAGGAAACGTGAGTCGGCAACCAAATTCTCTTCTCTAAGTTCACAAGTCAAATTCCCCACTGAGCCTGAACTAACCGCTGTGTCTTCCCCTCACTTTACAGTTCCTGTTGAGCAGTGTTCAGAGCAACACTTCTCCCTCTGTTTAACTTTTACAATAAAACCCGTTAAACCTTTTCCCTGGTCTCTCTGTTCGGTTTTCTGTATTTGGGTCTGAACTTTGTAACATCATGACAGTTGCTGCTTTGTTTTCTTACATTTTAACATGGTTCTATATCTGTGTTAATTGTGCTTTGTTGCTAGATGTGTTCATAAAATGAACTTGGTGGTTGAATTGTGGTGAATCTAATCGTTCCAACGATGTCTAACATGTTTATTTTGGTAAACATTTTACCGGTGGAATTTTTCATGGATTCTGAGTTATTCTTTAAACTTAAATGTGTCAAAACCCACCGGGTCGTCGGTGGTTGATCAGGGTCATTGGTTGGTTAGGGGCTTCGCCCTAGCGCCCTTTTCTGGCCAGTCACCACTGCTATGCACACTGCGGCTGAGTTTGGATGCCGTTGTTGGGAAAAGCCATATTGGTTTCGCTATGTTTTTTCACACCAGCTGAAGGGTATAGTTTCTGTATTTCTAATAAATTAATTCATACTCTACTCTTCATACAGACACTTTGGAAAATAAAATATAATACTTTTAAGGGAATCCAGAGTACCAGGAGATATCTTAAACTTACAGGCTTGGTGCAGAAAAAAAACTCACCTAGCCATAATGTTGCTCTTGTTGATGAGCATTGAACTGTCACGTTCTCAATCTCTGTTCTTACCACTCTGCTCAACAATGACAATCACATTGATTAGACTTTAGCAAAGCTAGAAGCGTGTTTTTTTTTTTCTTTTTTGTCCTGTCAACAAAAAATAAAATCAAACCATAATTGGTCAATTTGCCCATCTCTCACCAAACCAAAATAAATACACTTGCCTACACCATAGATTCATGAAGTCCTAACGGGTCATAATGTTCATAGAAATGATTTTGTGCAAGGAGGAACATGAGTAGCACAGTCAAAGCCCTGCAAAATGACCTCCAGCAGGCCACAAATGTACCTGCTGGAAGTCATTACACTAGTCTTAGCATTGTTTAGTTACCCCTCATTAGCAGCATGCCCAGACATTATAGGGAGGTCATACAGGCAGGTATAGCCCACACACAATACTGAGCCTCATTTTGACCTGTTTTAAGGACATAACTTAAATTTGGAACAGCCTTTAATGTTTTTTTCTGGTTTAATTTTGTGTGTGCCTCCAAATCCAGGCCTCCATTGGTTAGTACATTTTATTTCTATTGCTCTATTTGGTGTATATATTTTTTTTTTGTAAGAGGATTCAACTTTGTACAGAGTAAATAATTCAATACGAATATTTCCTTCATTCAGATCTAGGATGTGTTACCTTTAGTTTTTGAGCACTGTATGTATAAGCTGTATTTCTGTA